AATGAATATTCAATTGGTCACCCATGTATAGCTCTATTTATTTTCTTTAGAAACCACTTTGAAGATGCCAAAGTATAGTACAACAACCATTGATAATAACCTACCACTTTTGTCTGTAACTCACTATTATTTGTCTATTTGTTTTCCTGAGAAACTATCTTATAGATAACAATATGTAAAACAACCACCACTGATAATTTCCTACCACTTTGTCTGTAATTCAGTAAGCCCCCCTATTACTATGTTATCCTTCTTTTACTCTTTAAAAGAAAAAAAGAAAAAGAAAAAGAAAAAGAAAAGAAAAGCAATGGTGAAGACATTAGTTTCCTTTCCCTTTCTCTTTTTACTTTACCTTTCCTTACCTTACCTTACCTTACCTTACCTTACCTTACCTTACCTTACCTTACCTTACCAGAAGGCTCACTCCCCATACAGCATACCCCTGGGACACCATGAAGCCAGTTGCCTTCTGCATCTGTGATGGAGAAGGGCTTGGCCAGTGAGGGCCCTGAAGGAGTGGTGGCCTCACCTCTCACTGCAATCCTTCCAGCTGCTCCTGTGTCTTCTCTCTGTGTGCTCTTTGCCATTTGGAAAGTGCTGGTCACTTTTATGCAGGTGGCTAGGAGGAAATGCTGTCAAAGTTTATAGGGTGGGTCCCCCTTTGGGAAGTCATTTTGCTCTCCTTTTTTCACATTTCACTTCCTTAATTATTTTCTTTTCTTCTTCTTCTTCTTCTCCTTCTTTGCTATGTATCTGACTAATCATTATTAAGAAATGCCTCTTTCTCTTGACACACAGTTTCTCGGAAAAATAAACTTCCGATCACTATGCAGATGAGAATTTCTTTGCAATTCAGTGTCCATACAGAAAAATCTAAGCTAGATCACTTTCCGAAGAGCTGTGGCAGGCCACCAACTGTACCCTCTAGGCAGACTCACCTTGCCAGCAGCCAGCCTCAAGGGACTCTGCCTCTGGCCCCAGCACAAGCCACCTCCAGATGTCTGGTACAGCAAGGGCCAGGCGTGACCGCAATGCTTCACAGGCATCACTTTCTTTAACTTCACAGGAAATTGTTTTTCCCTTCCACATGCGAATATTTTTTTTCACATGTTACCTCTTTCGCCTTTATCTTGTCTCTTCAAGGATCCATTCGTTCCTGATTAATGCAGACAGAAACATCAAAATTGGAAAGAGGAGCTTAGCAGCAGTTACCATCAAAGTCAGGAACAGAACCTGGGATCCCTGCTCTTGGACTAGAAGACCCCTTATCTAAATTAGTTTTTCAGACAAACTCTCCACCCTGAACTTTTCCAAGGATCAGGGTTTGGGGTGATGGAAAGATGGGGTATAAACAGTTTCCTCCCCAAACATGAATCCCCAGAATAAATAAAGTGTTTATCTCATGAAGCATTTCTGGGGTGGAGTGTAATTAAAGAGCCCCCACAGTGTTGTACAGGCACTGCTCCTGCAGCCAGACTAGAAGGAAGGGGAAAAGGAGAATCCGGGACTTTGTAGGTGCAAGAGAAATGAACCTGAGGGGGCTGGAACCCTTGTTGCCCGCCATCTTGGACCTAAGGGAATAATACATTTCAAAGATGCTGTCAATACGTGGTTCACAATGTAACCCTAAGTTTAAACTTCAGCTCTCCTTTCTTCTGAAAAATACTGGCCAAGCTACTTGAGACCTTTTTCTTTTTGGCAGGAGAAGGGTACCAGGAATCAAACTCAGGATTTTGTGCTTGCCAGGCAGGAGCTGTGCTGCTGAGCTATCTCCCCAGCCTATACTATACCTTTTGAAGTTCTATAACAGAACTCTGCAACCTCAAACCTGCAAAAGTGAAAGACTGCTTTGAGAAGAAAGCCACAGAGCGCCATGTTCCAGAATGGCGGTGGCATGAAGAATTTGTTCATCAGAATTGGATTCAGAGTGCTCAGTGATCCAGGCACTCAACCCCTATGGCCAAGAGATGGGAAAGCTTGACTACTACTCCAGGTGACACCAGACCTTGGCATCAACCACGTGGCACTGGGTTTAGGTGCATACAGAATGGAAGAGTTCTGAGGCTAAAAAGCCTTCCACCTCAATTTCAGAAGGCCTGGGAGGCCCGGCAGTATGCCCCTGAGAGGGCAGTGTGTGAAGTTGTGAGTGTGAAGCGAAAGGTGCAGTGGAGACCTCAGAAGTTTGGAAAAGCCAGGAACATGGATTGTCTAAAGAAAGCTACAAGGAGGAAGCAAAGTGGGCCCAAGAGAGAAGCCTTGGGAGCTGTAAACACCAGAAGTGCCATAGAAGTGGAGTCACACAAGCCCTTTGGAGCTCACAATATGCCACAAGTTGCTTCAGATGCTGGGAGTGGAACTACAGACCCTAATGTTTTTCCTACTGGATTTTGGACTTGCTTTGGTCCCAATGCTTTGTATCCCCTTGTTTGTACTTTTTGGAATGGTAATGTTTATTTTGTGCCATTGAATGTTAGAAGTATTTTAACTTTTCATTTGTACAGGGGCTCATGGCTAAGAGTTTGCCTTACATCTTGGAGGAGACTTGGGACTTGTACTCTTCAGCAATGGTGAAACTGTTAGCACTTTGACAACGCTTAGAGATGGACTAAAATGCCTTTTGCATAAAGGGATGGGCATGAGTCTTTGGGGGACTAGGGGTGGAATGTCATGGTTTCTGTCTGGGTGTCCCCACAAAGCCACATAGGGTGGGCTTTTAGAGTTTATGATTGATTCATGGGTATGAGTGCTACACTGCCCTGGGGCAGGTAGATTGCATACCAATGTAAGGAAGAGAAAAAGGCTGCTTGACACCACTCCTCCCTTTTACTCTTCTTTTTGCTGTTTTCTGAACAGTGAAACAGTTGCCCTCTGCCATGTGCCATTCTGCCTTGGAGCCAGCCAAGTATGGATTGAAACCCCCTCAAATGTGAGCTAAATAAACCTTTCCTTCCTTAACTTTGGGTGTCAGGTATTTTGTCTCGGCAACGAGAGAAAAGTAACCAAGACAATGCCCAATTAACTTTAAATTTCTAATAAGCACATCTCACTGTTTATCTGTCTAAAGTTTTTATTTTTATATCTGGACCTTCCACAGTCAGACCCCACTGGGTCCAGGCAACATAGATCCTGGAGCTCACATGATTACATGCTTTGGTGGTAGCAGCAGAGTTCCTTGCAAGAAACGAAATTCAAAAATAGAAGTACAATATCAGAGTACAAAAATTTGTTTATAATGAGGAAAGAAATCACAAAAAAAATCACACAGTTTTGCTTTGTGTTTTTTTGTGGCAAAATCTCTTATATAGTGCAGGTTGGCCTTGAACTCACTTAGGTAGCCCAGGCTGGCCTCAAACTCATGGCAATCCTCCTGCCTCAGCCTCTTGAGCGCTGGGATTACAGAAGTATGCCACCATGCCCAGCTAGAAAATTCAAAATTTAAAAAGCTGACAGCCACAAACACCACAAGATCCAGAAATAAAAGCCACACTTTTACTAACTGACTTTGCTTCTCCTGATAATTTTTTACTGTTATTTTGTGTAAAGAGAATAAAAATTGTCAGCCTTTCCTCTTGTATGGTTGCATAAAATTAGATGTTATGTTGTTGCTAGTTGGAATTCACATAATATGCCAAAGATCTGTGCCCTGGAGACAGGAATTCTGATCAATTTTACAAGGTTTCCACTGGAAAAGAAAGAAGCTGTTGATTTCTTGATGATTGTATATATGGAATTTCTGAGTGTGTCAATCTTTGCTAGGTTTTAATGAAAGCCAAATCTTTGGCTTATAGTTTTCTGCACTTCAGCATGCCTCCATCTATGCCATGTATGGCAAACCTTGCTCCTCTTCTCCACCCTCATGTTTCCAGGGATAAGTCAGCATGGTAGGAAGAAAGGGTACTTCTGTGTGCCATTTTTTATCAGTTACATCTCAACCACACACTGATGTGATTTCCAGTCTTGCAAACATATGCCTCTGCAAGCCAAGGCCACCCCTTGTCAAGTTCTCTTTAAACCAGATGCCCCCAAATGTGTTGGCCCTCCAATGTCACTGCCGCAAGCTGAAGTGCAACAGAAGGGAAGTCAGAGTGGACAAGGACACTGATCCTAACTGACTGAGACTAAGATACCTTGATTCTGAGAGCTCGTACAAGGTGAACACATTGTGAGGGCCCCTCCAAGATCTTGAAAAGAGCCCATGCATGTAAGAGATCCAAAGGTAAAAAGTAAACCCCCTTCTGACACAGGCCCTAGAACAGTTATTGGTATTTCCTATTTTAATTCTTATTTTTAATCAAATATTTCCAAGCAGATGGTTTTGGAAGGCGTTGGATGAGAACCAGCGCTTTGCAGCTGCCCTGCTGCCCCTGTCCCAGTGCCTCACGGATGACAGCTTTCGGGTCCCACCTCCTCTTCCACTGTGTAGGGTCATACTTACGAAAAATGTGCACAAACTGTTTCTTACAGCTTCGCTTTCTAAGTTATCTATTAGCTAAGTAATGGAAGATTGAGACTTGATTATTTTACAATACACCATACACTTTCCAGTGGTAGTGGGAGAGTTCCTTTCAAGAAACAAGATTCAGAAATAGAAGTATGATATTAGAGACAAAAGCAAATATTTGTTTAGAATGAGGGAGTAAATCACAAAAACATTACAAATTTTGAAAAGCTGACAAACACAAACACTAAAAATATCCAGAAATAGGAGTCACACCTTTAGTAACTGTCATCTCTTGGCCTCTCCTCTGATGATGACTCCTTCCCTGTTCCGCTAACATAAATGTGTCACGACAGTGCCTCTTTCTAGACATGTCATTCAAGGTAGCCCAGGAGGCAGTGGCTACTGGGAGAAGGTAAAGTCCTGCTCTCCTGTACCCATATCAAGTCCAAATGATTTTTTTTTTTGTTTCTTTCATCTCAATATCTACCATGAACCATAATGGTATCAAGTCCAAATGATTTTTTTGTTTCTTTCATCTCAATATCTACCATGTCACTTCATCATACTCAAAATTTGCCACTGGAAGAGGTTGGTCAGTAGCAAAGGCTAACTAGGATTGAGTCCATTTACCTGCCCAGGTCCTGTGTTAAGCACCTGCGTACATTACCTTGTTTAGTTTCCACACCTCCTCTCTAAGACAGGTATTATTTTCTGTCTATTGGTTCAGATAAGGAAGCTGAGATTTATTAAACCCCTCACCCAAGGCACTCAGGTGCTAAGTGACAAATTGGATGTGACCACAGCAGTCCCAGTCCAGCACCTCCATTCTTAACCACTCCACTATGATGGGCCCACAAGACCATCTGGTCCTGTCATCTACATACAAGGAAGTAGCTGAGGCTCAGAAACACCTCCCCAAAGTCACAGAGCTGAATGGATGGAACCGGGATGAGAGTTCATGCCCCTGAACTCTCCATCAAGAGCTCTTCCCATTCACAGGATCTTTGTCACCTTTTCTGACTCCAAAGCTTCTTCTTCTGGGAATAAAGACATCTGTTCCCTCCAAGCTAAGGAAATGCAGAAGAGCAAGTGGAATGGAAGCACTCAACAACTCCAGGCATGTCAGGAGAAACTATGATTCTATAGAAATCGGACAGGATTTTTCCTTCCTGGTAGTGTAAACCGTGTCAGTGTTGGAAAGTGTTGGATCCATGGTGGCTGGGAGCCAAGGGGTTCCCGGTGAAGCTGTCACCTCGGGAGACCTGGGACAGGGAGGGGCTGGGCTGGGGCCAGGCTTTGCTGCACTGTTAGAGTGAGCAGGTGGCAGAGTGAGGGCTGATCAGTCTGCAGTCCTTAAGGAGTGCGAGCAAGCCAGGCACAAAGGCATATCCTTATCCTCATCTTGTCCACCAGCGGTGCTCTCCCCGCCCCACGGTGCCACCCCCGCTCCATGGGTTCTGACTATTTAGAAACCAGAAGCTTAGTGCAGACTTCCTTTCCTAGGGGGCACCTTCCCTGGGCTAGCCACATCTCCACCATCGTCTAGGTAGATTCACTCTGTGTGGCGTGCCTCCCAGGAGCCTGATGTCAGTAACGACATAGAAGTGAGCTGGACTCTTCAGTTTAAGACTAAAACTTAAATCAAGATATAATTCCTCTAGGGACCCCTCTGTCTCCCTCTCACTGTGTTCTTTTATCCTTGGTCTCCTCTCAGTCCTGGGGACTTAATTTGTGCTCTGTTTATTTTCACTTAGATCATTCAGGCCATTCTGAAACCTCTCTGCCATCAGAATTAAAACTCAAGGAAGGCTGAAACTATGTCCCCCATTTGAAGAGTGTGTAACTCAGTGACCAGGTGGCCACCTTGTTAAGTCCATCTTTTAGGTGGAGAATCGGAAGTCAAGTTCTGGCTTGCATGTAAATCCCATGACGGCAGGGATTTTGTCTGTCTTGCTCACTACCTTATCTCCATGATGTCATCCAGGGTGGGCATTCCACCAAAGTTCCTTTGGTGAGTGAACAAATGAATAGATGACAGGGACTGGGGCCCTCCAAAGGCGTGGACAATCTCACAGTCCTGTGGTGTTTCACACAGCTACCTATGTGGGCCTGGGGGATTTCCACATGGACAGCTGCCTGCTAAACTCAGTAGCTGGGGGAAGGAGCTCCCAGATTTATACTTCAGTGCCCCTTAGGTGAGGTCCTTCCCAGAGACAACCAGCAATCCAGCCCAAAATCTTCACAAGCTTTCTCTGTACTTATTTACTTTTTTATTTTAAAGAGAAAAGAACAAAAACAAATTAACAACTACAAAGACATTAACAAAACAACACAAAAACAATAAAAATGATGCAGAATTTCAAGCAAGGTGATAGGAAATTAACAGTAGTTGTTGTATTACATATTGTTATCTTCAGATTGGTTACTCAGATAACCAGATATAGGAATGAAGACTGATCAAACAATTAAACATTAACTGTTATAAATATAATAATTAACCATTTCTTGTTTTGTGTGTGGTAGGAAGTCAAATTCAGTTGTTGAGTGCCTCCATTCCAGGAGTCAAATTCACGACCTAACACTTGCCAGGCAGGTGCTGCACCACTGAGCTCTATCCCTGGCAAGCTTTCTTCCCAATGTCCAGCACGATTAGATTCAGCAGGAGTTGGAGACAGGCAATCTTGCCTGTTGAAGAGTACAATTGTGTGGTCTTTCTTCTTTCTGTGTATGTATCTGTGTTAAGGATAAAACAAAATGTGACATCAGAAGAAAAATTTTTGAACCTGAAAGACATTGAAGAATTGTCAATCAGTAAAAGAAAAGCTTCATTTTGCCCAACTGTATCAATGTAAATTAACCAATTTGCCTCATGACTTTGAAGCATAATAACAACTAAGCACATCTTAAGTGACAGAGTAGCTAACCATCACTAAAGCTTTTCTTATAGCATTATCAGTATTTAAACACAGAAAACGTTAAATTATGGTCCTATGACTACAGGTCCAAGATGTTTGATTCATTCCTTTGAGAAACTGCTGAAGTATGTGGAGTTCTTCCCCCTATAAGAAAATATACACAAACTTTCCTTTTGGTGTCTCTCTAGAAACCCCTCAGGGGTCCACGAGCCCTAAATTAATAATATTAGAAGACTTGAGGCTGTGGCTATAGCTCAATGGTAGAGCATGTACTTAGCATGAACAAGGCCTGGGGTTTGATCTCCAGTATCAGAAAATAAATAAACAAACAAATAAACTTGGATTGAGATCCAACTTTAACATCTGCTGTCTATATACCTTTGGACACACTGATCAACCTCCGTGTGTCTCAGTGTCCTCATCTGGAAAAGTGGAAGCAATAACTTTTGGCTCTTTAGTCCTTGCACTATGAATCATAATAGCATACATGTGTTCAGGATTAACGTGACCGGGGGGAGAATACCTGGAAAGGAAGAAATGCCTTCTCCCATCACACTCATCCAAGAGCAGGTTACAGCATGCTTGGCTATTCCTGCTCACGTTAGGGAAGTCACAAAAACAGACAGAGACACAGGGCTAGAAGGAAGCATTACCTGCTCCTCCAGCAGGGCTTGCTCATGCTAGTCCTACCTGTAGAAGGCTGGTCCCATGGCTGGGGCCTTGAGTCACTTCTCTCTTATGAAGAAGCAGGGATGAGTAATTTCTGGCTCCCATAAAGCTACAGCTCCCACCATGACTGGCAAAGCCAATGATGCCATGTCATGGAATGAGCACTGGAGTTAGGGCGACCAGCCGTCCAGTTTGTGTGGGACTGTGAGCTTTCCTGGGACCCAGAACTTTTGGTCCTACAACTGGGAAAGTCCTAGGCAAAGCCAAACAAGGTGATCATCCTATGTGGACTGAGAATGGAAAGCCTAGATTTGAGTTCTGGCTCTGCCACTTACAAGCTGTATGATCTGGGCAGGTCACATAAGATCATCTCCTGTTTGTGTTCACCTGGGTTTTGTCATCTAGAACATGGAGCAGATGAGGACCAGAACATATAATATAGGGGAAGCTCCTAGGAGAAAGGAGGAAACTCACAACATAAACACAGCTCACTGAGAGAAGTCTGTGCTTTACGACACCTGCACCCACCGCACTGACACATGACATCACTCCTTGCGCTCCAGGCCATTTTACAAATGGCATTAAATTATACACAAACTTTATATTCTCCTTTTCTGGACAGCAAAGCTGAGGCTCTGTGATTGAAGGATCATGCAGCCAGGTAGTGCTAGAACCACAATCTGGGCATCTGCTCTCAAGACCAACAACACCTCTACAGACAAAGAACCTGCTGAGGTCTGGTGGCAGCAGAGGAAGACGGTGCAGCCCTCAACACACTCTTGATGATTTCTTGTGCTGTGAGACTCAGAATTGAAAACCCCTGTTACAGCTCAGTCTTGCTTCCCTTCCTAAGATTAAGGGAACAGCTGGGAGACCACCATGGAGCCTTGGCGGCCTGAGTAGCACCCGTGGGAAGGAGGACAGAAGCACAAAGTGTTGATTCCCTTCATTACCCACCTATCCCTGTCCATCAGGACAACTCCCCTCCAGACAACAGAGTGCTATGTTTGTTTAATAACAGTTTTAACCATTAGAGAAGTAAAATTTTGCTTTGATATGGAAACATTATAGAGGGTACAGTAAAATAGAAAGGAAAGAAAAATGGTCACCTGTAGTCATTCTATGGAGGAATAACCTGGTCTCTTTTTTAATTTGAAGTCTCCTAAGGGAAACTGTTTAGAAGTTCTATGAACTGAAACTAGGCCCATAACCACAGCCCGCCTGGGCCGCCCTGCGTGCATTCAGCTGGGCTCCAAGATGCACCAGGCCCTAAACAGAGGACAGGTGAGGACAGCCCAGCCCTGCAGGGATCTCACAGGAGCAGAAGACAGAGCACTGAACACTTGTGTCCCAGTCACCCTTACTGCTCATGGGCTCTGGGGTAAGAACATTCAATGTACTAATTTATTCCATTGTTTACAACCTTATGAGTGGAGACTGCTTTTAGCTATAGTACATAGACTGAGAAAACTTAGATCTGAGGGTCTGGATATGGTTTAAGTTTGTCCCTCAAGGATTCATGTGCTGGGAGTTTGGTCCTCGGTGTGGGGATGTTAAGAGGCGAGGCCTAGTGGGAGGTCCTTAGTAGTCCAGGGTAGCCTTCAGGAGGCCCGCGTTAGTTCTCATGAGAAAGTTGTTATAGAAGGAGCAAGAAGGCTGCTGATTCCCTGCCCCACTCTCCCACACCCTCCAGACATGATGCCAGCTGCTGTTAGACTCCTACCATCTAGTCTCAGACTTTCAGCCTCTACAATTGTGAGCTAAGTAAATTTCTTTTCTTTGTAAGACCTCAGCCTGAGATATTTCATTAGGGTGATAGAAAACTAACTGATACACTGGGTTAAAAGAGTTTAAAAACTTGGACAAGGTCACAGAGCTCACAAGGGAGAACTGGGAGACCTGGACCTTCAGAGGCTGACTCCAGAACAGCACAAGGACTGTGACCAGTCAGGTCCTAGGGTGGAAGCAGCCTTCCTAAGGAGGTCAGGTCTAACCTGAAACATACAGATGAGTGCTAGGTAAAGCTCTCACCTCCATTCTTTCCTCCCATCATCCACTAGACTCCAACATCCTTCCCCAGGATCATCGTCCAGCTCTGTCCCCATCAAGGCTCTGCCTGGGGCTCCACCTGCCTGGCTTCCTAGCCTCTTCTGCAGGGCTGTTTCCCCACCAGCCTCCTCTGGCTCCCCTCTTCATGCAAGCTTCTTACCCAGGACACTGTACTGCTCTACTCTCTCAGGGGCATTTGGAAATACCCTTTCTCCCTTTGCCCAAAAATGTTTCAGACATAACCCAGAACCCCCTTTTTCCCAGTACTAAATAGTAATCACAGTTCAGGCTAAAATGCCATACTTGAGTTCCTTCAAATTCCAGGCAGGCTGGGGCATGGATGCAATAAAGAGAACTCTGGGACTCTTCAGCTCCTAGCCACCTAGAAATGCATGACAAGAGTGAGGGCTGAAGGGACTTGAAGGCCTGGGCATCTCCTCCAAACTAAGGTGCAGACCTAACTTTCCCCTAAAGCACAGCCAGCTCACCTTCCAATGGGCTACCGCCTTCCCCAAACCACTCCTGCTCCGAGGAGCAAAGGGGAAGAGGACTACTGATTTCAGGGCGGCAGCACCCCCAAGCAATCTGTCATTGGGTTCGTTTCTGCTTCTCTTTAACTCTGCCAGGGCTGGAGAGGCTCTGAGACACCCTACAGGTGACAATAGCTGTTTCCACCTGCCACAGTGAGAGCTAGGGGAGAAGCCAGTGGGGCTGGAGCAGGAACTGAGCCTTTGACAAAGGAAAACACATAGGCCCTGCCCATCATGAACACACTTCCTCCTCCCAAAGATTTCTCTTTTGGGAGTGCTCATCCCAGGGAACTCCCAGAGACAGAGGAGCAGCACCTGGGAGGAAACCAAGGTCTTACTCAAAGCAAAGCCCTAATGGGAGAGCAAAGGGAACTTTTGACTAGGGTAGCTCTACCTCTGAAAGCTGCTGGTGTGGTAATAGTAATAATAAAAACAGCAGAAACCTACATAATGACTGTGATGTACAAGACATTGCTCCAAATGTTCTGAGGACTTCAAACTCCAATAATCTTGGATCCAGGAAAACTTGTTTCACTGATGCTCTTCACAGGTGGTGGGTTTTGTTGCTAACCTGGTAATCAATTATTTTAACATCACACCACATCATTCACTGATTCAATACTGAGCTTCTACAATAGCCCACACGCTATGCTAGGCACTGGGAATGCAAAAAGAGAGCAGTTCTTTGTCTTAAGGAGCACAGAGTCTTGAAGGAGAAGCAGGCAAATACAGAGGACAGTACACAGCAGTGGGACAAGAACAGTCGAGAAGTATTAATGCAAGTCAGGACATATGCAGTCTCAGGAAAGACTGCTAGGTAGAGGTGAGCTTTAGTGGAGTTTCCACGGATGAGCAGGAGTTAGGGAAAGGGAAGACTAGGCATGCTTAATGGAGGCCTGCAGATGGCCCATGACGGCAACTCCTGGGAATCACATATTGGTCAATAAGGACAGAGTTTGGAAATGAGGTAGAACAAGGTCATGAGATTCCCAAAGCCCTGCCAAAGGAGCCTCCCTGCAAGCCCAGCTTATGCCAAATGGAATAAAGACCAAGTGTCCTTGCCAAGCCAGGCCCACAGTTCAACCCCATGAGCAAATAAATCACTGTCATCATTTGAAGCCATTGTTTTGAGATGGTTTGTTTTTCAGCAACACATAATCAAAACAATCACTTTAGTGATGGGGGCAGCAAAGAGGAAGAGAAAGAAGGCTAAGTGAAAATGACAAGTATCCATTTGTCTTAATTCTCCCAGGCCCTGGTTAGATGCATGCACCATTTGGCTAACATCTGGAAGCAAATTATGTCTGCTAATTAAGATCAGTGCCTGAGTCTAGATAGTGGGAAAAAAATCTTCAGCCTCCAAATACAGGGCATATGTCCAGAATTGGAATAAAGAGACAGGAAGGGAATGGGGCTGTAATACCTGGAAAGTTACAGAGGTCAACATAAAGGGAATGGGTTTCCAATAGCTGGCCATAAGCTTCCATCCTTTTCTCCCCCAGCCCAGTACTGGAGATTGAGCCCAGGGTCTTCGTACAGAGCTATATCCCCAATTTTTTTGTTTTGTTTT